TTATATATGTATATTATATTTCAAAATAAACTTAAGTTACTTTTTCCAAAATCAAATATGTCAAAATAAATCTAAAAAATTAATTTATAAACGTAGTAACATTAAAAAAATCTTTAAATTATCAACAAAAAATTTAAATATATATATGTGTGTACATACATTATTAATGAAATATATGTAATTAATATTTAGAGTAGTTGTGAGTCCATTTTTTTAATTATTTTTAATTAGTGAAAAGAGGCTGATTTGAATAGAAAATAAAAGCTTATAGATCAGTTTTTATTTTTGTTTTTATTATTATGTAGTAGTCTATATAAATGTCGCGAACATTTCAAAGTTTGTTTGACTTCTTCCTCAGGACGGAGTATTATTTCAGATGTTCTTGAAAACATAAAAGGCAGTTATTTACACAGGAATAATATCAATAAGAATCAATAACTATCCTAACTAAGAAATTTGTACTACCTGTCAATACCAAATATCAAGAAGGATTTTTGATATATATGATCTGTAAACTACAAAATTTAAATTATTGGGTATTAAATTATAAATTATTAATAAATTATTTTCAACGCCATTGCGTTGCATTGGGTTTTTTGTTTTTGTACTGCGTAATATTTTTACCTTATTACACAAAAAATTTGAATATTTATCGGATAATCAAGAAAATTGTTTACACAGTGTGTTAATTAATACTGGATTCAAGAGTTTTGTTTGTAATTCTAGCTGTCAAAAATGTTCATTTTGTTTTGAAAGCAACAACACTTGACAGCTAAAATTACAAACAAAACTTTCGTGTGAATCCAGTACAACACTCAGTTTCTTTTCTTTATCTTCTTTATCCTCCATAAAATCCATGTAAAGATATATGAGGTAAAAGCGTGATTATTTTTTAGAATCGTTCAATTCTGTATGGAAACATTTCAATGTGGTAATCATGAAACAAGTAAACCAAATTTAAAATGAAAACAAATAACAAATTGTAAATAATAACACAGATGCGAATGGACCTATTCACAATAGATGCGATGCTTGAAACCTGTTTGTCTGATTACACCTCTTTAATTTCGGACAACGATATTTACTTAATACTTAACACGTGCGTAATATTTATGCCAAGAAAAGTTTTGCTTCGCACGAACCTTTTATACGTATTCACAAAACGAGATGTTCAAATTGTACTATAGTGTGTGAACGCAAATAAAAACGTTTACAAACGTCAAGTTACCGCTAGTATGAATAATAGTATCAATTTATAATATGTCACCATAAATAAATCTATATAAATTTTGAATTTATTTATCGACCAGTTTTTTTAATAATGGTTTTTATATATTTTTTATTCGTATATAGGTCACTTTTTGTTAAAATTAAAATTCAACGTTTATTTAATATAATGCAATATAGACAACAAAATGAAGAGGATGACGGTTAGATATAGACTTCATTAATATTAATTTATGTTAGATCCTTATGCTAATAATGACTCTCAAGGATAAAGAATAAATTAAAAAATATTAAACAAACATTGAGTCTTAATTTCAACAAAAAGTGACCTATAGCCGTATAAAAAATATATTAACACCATTAATTATATACTTTAGTAAATTGAAGTCTGAACTGTAGGTAAATATGGTAGTAAATCATATTGAAAAGTGAATTGTGAACAAAAACAAATTGATTTTTGTGTTTTCTTGTACGTTTGTTTTAGTAAAACGCCTAAAAGTTTTTTAAGTATTAATTGCTTACTCATATTCATAAGTTAAGTGTGACGAGCAAACATACCACACACCACGATTGTACTGACTTTTATATTCAACACTTGTTACTCATAACATGTCGTATTCATATAATTAATATTTAAGAATAAAAGTCTGGCAGCATTATAATTCTTTTCTTCTTTTGTGCAGAAATTTTTTCAGTTGCTTTTCATCCGCGTATTGCGTTAAATGGATTAAGAAATATATGGAGGAAGTTGATTTTTTATTTTTATTTTTAAACGATGAATAATGTGTGATATATGTAGAAAATAAAAACAAACGAATTGGAGGCAATATAAGAAATTAATTACATAAAACCAAATATCAAAATAAGATTCGTTTTCAAATATATATTGGGCCAAAAAATTCTATTTTTTTGGCAAAAACATAAATAGAATTTGAATAATTATTAAATTCATATTGCTAGACATTAATTTATGTGCTAGCGTCTATTGGCTAAGTAAATGTAGAACACTGCTGCAGGAAAGTAGCAAAACGGGTTCATCATTTGAAATGGATATACTTGATATCGACGAAGTTCTCAAAGACGACTCCTTTATGTATGTAAAATGCCAAAATATAGAATTTAAACGGTTAAGAATATAAATAATTATGTTTTATGGTAGATTTCTTGATGATAAATCTCATGATGATGTTTCCAATATACTTCGACAGTGGAAAAATAACAATTGCATACCAACGCAATTGCAACAACAGCAACAGAACCAGGAACAAGGTAAGGCCTTTTTCATACACGTAAAGTCAATATGTGGAAATTTGTGTGGCGCTCAAATGCTGTTTATCCATATTTGGAGAACTTGTAAATGAGAAAGTTACTTTGCCAACAAACAAAAGCGAATTCTTTTTACTTAATATGAAACATTTATCAACTTTAAAATTTCTTTTTTCTTATTATGGAAGTCACAACTCTATAGATTGCATAAGCTTCGTTTAAAATATAATCTTAGATAATTGGATGTATATGACTCAAAATTGTTATAAAAAAATATCAATCGAAAGAAAGGATCAAACTAAAAAAATCTTTTTAACTTAAAAAAGATTGTCTTTAATTCTAAACTAGAATCCGGCAAAGCATTTAGAGCAAATAGGAAATTACTAAAATGTCTTATTTATTAAATAATAATAATATTGAAATTTAATAATGGGTCTATTTAATATAAAATTCCTTATATTAAAATAAAATTTGAATTTACAATTCAGTTTTTTCTCATATATAATTTTCCATAAATAAATTATATTATACCACATATTTTTTTTATAAATTAAAAAATTTTAATTAAAGCAAAAAAGAAGTGGAACGCTATAAATTATCCAAATATGTAACATAAATCTATATAATTTATTTTTCTTTATTTTATTACATATAACGTCATCAACTGCGCTGTCCACACGGTCTTGTCTTTCGATTAATTGAAAATCCCACGCACGGCAATATGTTCCATGAACTCTGATAACACTAAATACCTACACCGACTTTACAGTGTATAAGCTGAACTCAAGAACATTCACACGACCCAAGCGGAAATCGGCACAAAATCTCGAATCACAATTTGTAAGTAAATCATGTTTATCTACTTTTTAGCAAATAAACCAAAAAAAAAAAATAAATAAATCATTTATGCAAATAATTCGCGAAATGCTTTGCAACCGTGTAGATAGCTTCAAAATGCTATCTATTCACTTCCGAGTATTTAGACCGAGCAATGTTTTGCATGGTTTTGCTTTCTCACATTTGTCCGTTACTAAATCGTAGTGAAACAGAAGCGGCAAGAGGTGAGTCATACGCCGAAACATATGTTGCATGAGTTCCGATAAGAAATCAATATACGCCGAATTTACAAAGCAACCAATTTAAAAACACTCTCGTCCTACATTTATCTTAAAATTGCATTTTATTTTTCCTGAAAAAAAATTTATTAAAAAAAATTAGAAAAATTTTAATTTTTTTTTTTAAATATATTTTATTAAACAATATATAAGATGATTATAAAATGTTTCTTTTTCTCTATACAATTTATGCGAAATTTTGAGTTAATATATATTATTTGTTATTTTAGTCAAACTCTCCTCTCACCAATGGCTTGCATATGAATCAGCACCAGTCCCAGCATGGGTCACCCATGTTGAATTTGGAAATTGGCGGATTGGTAACGACAATGCATAAGTCGTTTTTGCAAGATACCTCGCCTCCATCATCAATTTGTTCCTCAATGGATGTATCGGTAGATCGTATGAATAATTCACTAATCACATCGGCTGACTTTTCCAATTTAAGTTTCCTACAATCCACTCAAAGTTTAGATTTAGAAGATGTAAATCGTTTCGCTTTTAATTTCTCAAACAAAGCAACAAGTGACGGTTATACCCTAAGTGATATGATAAGGGATCGCAAAGCGCTTGAATCACTCACAATGTCCAGCGATGGCACTTTAATAAAAGACTCACACATTGCTCAAATCGATGACATATCGCTAACGTTCAGTAAAACTGCGTCTGGCAGCAGCACCATGGACAATTCAACTGAAAGTATGGATTGCAATAATCGAACAGTGCAAATTTTCAACAAGGATGACACATTTAATGGTGGAAAAGCGAATTCAGATAATAATAGCAATGAAAATATAATACATCGGACTATGTTACTGAACAATGACCTTATCAGTGATACTACATTTAATTTAATAGAGAACAGTTTGCATGGTGAACAAATAGCTGGACAAAACAGTGATCCCAACGTTACTCACAATTTAAACAATGTAAAGCAGCAAATAAATGAAACATTCAAAAAACCAACGACTTTGAATGAAACAGTGTGTGTCATCGGAAATTCTAACACAACATTTGAGTGTCAGCAATCTAACTCCGACCCACTCTGTGAAACACCGGAAAGTGTCAGAAAGAGTGTAGGTACTATGAAAATTTACGAATCTACTCCCCGCACTACTAACATTCGTTACAATCGGCACCAATACACTCCAACTCTCCAAGAAATGACAGAAGATGTAAATATATCACCGATTATTGCAACTCTTGATCAACGTACCGCAATCCGCGCTATGAACGAAACTTTCGAAAGAGAACCTTTAGTCAGTAAAATCAACTCAAATACGTTTAATGATGTATTGCCAAAACTAGATAGTATGGAGATGATAGAAAATATACAAAATCCGAATATAACATTTCAAAAAAGTTTTGAAACAGATTTTAAAAGTGCGGCTGGGAAAGAAATGAAAAACGTAATGGATTTGGCAAAGGCTGAGGCTGAATTGTTAGCTGGAAATGATGAAGAATTCGAACATAAACTTGACGAATTTAGCAAAATAGAAATGAATATGCAACAACTTAAAATGAAGAAGTCGTTGGAAAGTATTAAGAAACGTTTTAGCTGTGTAACTGCACCAGATAATAAATGTGAAAAAGAAATTATTTATGAAGATATGGATAAATCAGTACCCCCTGGATATGTTATAAATACGAATAAAACATTCGAAACGGATATTGAAAGTCCGGAAAAATACAGAGAATATAAGGACACAACACATGTAATCAATGAGTCAAACTCTCCAACTAATAGTACAAAATATATAAGGAACTCAATGTTTGTGTCAAAGGAATTACGTGACTCATCTGGAAGTGGACTGACATCTTCAACGGCAAGTGCCTCAAGTAACGCGGGTGAACGCTTGTTAAGTCGTCGAAGCCGACTTTATGATGATTTCAACTTCTCTGTATTAAACAGTTCGAAAACGCAAAGCACGTCTTTTGCAGTCCACAAGCCGGAGCCGGACATTGACGCGGAGAATCATAATGTAATAGAGACTGAATCAAGAACGAATATGGAAAAGATGATACATGAAAAGACTGAGGAGAATTTAATTGCTGAACCCGAAAAATACCATAATGCTCAAGACTTGAATACTGCTACATATAAGTTAAGCGAAAAACGGAGCCGTGATCGAGATCGTTTTAAAACAATAAAAATTGTGAAATCGCATAATGTAAATAGTGAAAATTATGCTCCTGAAACTGAATTGAATGTGCCTTGTATCGACGATGATATCGAAACAAAAGAAGATTTGGAAATGGAATTAACAGCAGAAACCCAAGAAATCTCACAGAGATTTTCCCGACGTGACAATACCCATTCTAATAATAACAACAAAATAGAAACTGAAGAAGCATCCAAAACTAATTCGTCAAAAATTAATCCCAAATTCCTAACATATAAAAAACCAAAAGAAAAATCTACAACAACTACTGAACTGCCGGAAGTATGCCCTACAAATGAAGATCAAAGTGCTTCTGCTGATGTTCTTAAACCTGCGAAGTCACGTTTGGAACCAAGATCACTGTCACGTCCACGTTATATTAGCGGTTTACAAAAGTTTAGTGTGGTTAGTAAAGCTACTTCTGCTGGCAATTTGGATAATACAACCGGTGCTTCAGCAACAACTGCTCCACAGAAATCTTTAGCTTATAATTCTAGAAAAAGTGCTTTAATAATCGGTGTTGGAGTGAATCAACAAGTCAAAACTTCTTCTAACATCAAAAGTCCTATGGGCATTAAATCGAAATCATTTCATAACTTATCTAACAATTTCGGATATACAAATGCGGAAAATGGAGCACAAACTTCAAAAACGACTTTTGGATTGAAGAAAAATGTCTTGACCGAAAATCAAGTAAGTTTTTTTGAAATGACCAGTTATATTTTTATTTATTTATATATGTATCCCGTTAGGTAAAATCGAATGGTAGGAATTCAACAGCTTCTGCAAATAAACTAACAGCTCAAGCTGCGTCTCTAAAATCACAGGTAATGAAAACTTTTAATATGTGTTGAGTTTTTAGCATTTATATTTGCTTTTTTTTATAGAAAAATGATGAATCAGTATTCAAAGTTCCAAAACTCGTATCCGGAATACGAGTTCCAGGTGCTGCTGGAGCAAAACGTTCTACTATGGTGCGACCTTCGTCTGGTTATTATAGTCTAAATGTTACTACAAAACCCTTGGCACAACCAACAGACCTAGATATTGATACGGGGAGACATTCGCCTACAGATGTAAGAACTTTTTTGTGTTTAAATAAAATGATTTTAGTATAGCGTAGATGTTTGGTTTAATATTAAGTTTTTTTTATATAAAATAGTTATTACTAAGAACCTACAACAACCCCAATAGCTTAACAGCAGTTTTTTATACAAACGACAACGAATAAAATGAATTCTCAAACTTACTCATATCTCTTTAAATATTACTATATAACTAACTATATTATGCAAAATGTATTCAAGTAAATAATAGAATTTCCGAATGTAATTATTAAGAAATTATAAAATATACTACGCTATTATTTGTATTATCTGAGTGTGTGGTATTTAGTTGTAGCATAGCTAATAATTTTAATGTAGAAATACCGCAACAATGTTAATCTAAAATACTTCGATTAACCCTCTATCCAGAATACAGAATAGCTCAATTGTTTGGTGTGGCAAAAAGCCCTTTCATTGTGTTTATGCCTTGCATGTTATAGAAATCAACCTAAAATGACGAGATTGTTTTCTCCCACAAATGTATCTATAAAGATCTAAGTGGTCTTCATGTAAAATTTTAAATTAAATTAATGTATATATATCTCT